TAGAGAAGCTCAGGAAATTATATCTGATCTGGAAGCCCAGGAAAATAAGGAACTTCTACAGGGGACAGCAGAATTAGAGTGACCAAGAGAAAGATCAAATAAGGAGGTAAAGCAATGGCACTGGTTACTCAGAAACACTGCAGACAAGAAAGAATCCCACTATAACCTGGGACATGGAGAGGTTCGGATTATGGAGAGAATTTACAGATTGTAATTTATATCCTGTAACCCCCCAAAACAGACGAACACAACAGGCGGTGAAAAGTCGGGACACCTAAAGTTTAAAGGAGAAGGAACAAATAAGGCTTTAGGAGAAACAGATATAAGAACCTGCCACTATTAGAAAATACACCCCTCTTTGGTATGAAATAAAATCAGAGACTGTAAAGAATCCCAAAATCAGATCCCTGAGCAGCCCAGTGGAGACCCACAGTGGGTCCAGAGGTGCCCCTGGCATCTCCATATGGACAGCAACACCAAGGAAATGGCACAAAACCTCCTTAAAAAAAACAAGATTAAAAATTAACCCCAGGCCAAGAAAGTGCCTGGTCCAGGATCAGCTGCACAACCTTTATATTTGGTTTTCAAAAGGCTGCTTTTCCACCAAAGAGTATATTCTACAATGAAGATACATAATAATGTTCACTTCAACAGCTATTCAGTATTTTCTGCATCTCCTGTGCAAGGCCTATTTAGTTACACTGTATTTCCTGCTCCCTATCGAGTTCTTCAGTAGCTTTTCTATAGTTACAACTTCACTAAGTATCTTCACAATATCCCAACAAGATAAATAAGTATCACCCTCCTCTTTCGTTCAGGGCTTTGAAACACAAAAGATCAAACGTTTCAGGTAATTTTTGGTCACCCAATTTGAGGTATTTGGCACCTGGCTTAACGGAGTTATTTGCATCTTGTTGCCTTTTCTCCCTTGGCACACAACCCTCACCAACGCAGCTGTAAAGGCAGCCAGCTGGTATTTTCCTATATAAACCGGTAAGTTTGCCCTGAAGACTGGTATCTTAATAGAATCAAACATTACAGCCACAGGGGTAAAGCCATCTCTTCTCCTCCCGTAGCCCAGCTCTACAACACATCCATCCATCAGAGGCTTCTCTCCAGCACACAGCCCAGGACAGATCTACCACCTGCACTGAGCAGGGCCCTGTGGGGCCAGGGTTTCACTACTCATTTCTGCAAAGGAGGCAGACTAAGCATGTACAGACATTCTGCAGGATGGCAGGAGAAGAGCTGCTGGGCTTTGGATTTGGGCATTTTTTTTTTTGTAAAGCACTTCATTCTGATACCACAAAACTAATTTTCTTACAGATTGATTAGTAAGTATCTACA